AGCTCACTGAAATGGCAGACTCTTGTTCACACCATTTGTCAAGACTACTCTGTAACATAATAAGTTTTCTCCAAGTTATACACCATGGCTTGCCTGATGGTTCAACATGAAATGCTTCTGCTAGATATTTCCAGGATCTCTCCAAATCAAAGTCACCAAGAGGGACTTCAACTCCTGTATATGATTTAATCCCAAATTTAGCTAATCCAGGAACAGCAACAAGTAAAGCTTTTAATGCTGCAATAGCTCGATCAATGTTCCTCTGGTACTGGTTTTTCTCATCACAGACAGTGTTTAATGTATTCTTAATGAGTTTGAGAAGATATCTACTATTATAATTGCATTTAAAGCTTTTGGCAGTTTTGCCTGATTCATTAGATCCTGAAAATTTAGGTTTCCACGTTTCTCCTCCATGCTGTGTAATTGTTGAATGTACATTCTTGTAGTTAGAACAATTCGTAATTGCCATTCTAATTTAACAGCTGTTTCTCCTGAGAACACTTCGTTAAACTCTTGAGAGCATAAACTCTTTAAAGCCATCTCTAACGTCTCTACTGATACGGAACCTCTTTTATATTCGAGAATGTATTTTAGTGCGTAAATGCTCTCAGAACATTTCAAGTCTGTTAACAATTCCTTTATTTGCGCATCTGCTGACATAGGAAAACTGCCTTGATTTACTATCACTATTACAGGGTTGCTCGGTGTTGATGCAGAAGATGTCGTAGAGGGAGCACTTGCTGTAGGGAAAGTGTCCGATGCATAGCCGGTCGTCGGGTTAGAACTCGTTGAGTGTGCCCCCGCAAAGGTAAAGGGAATTGAGCTTTCAGGTTTCTAAAAGTAACATGTAATAATTAATAAATATGCATGTGGAGGTTTTTGCATGTGTTTGCATTCCTATACTCATACCTCATACGCCATAGTCGCTTGAAGGTACGGTCAACATCTCTTTCGGCAATTTCTACTACTTATTCCTATTGGCTAAAATTCGCTAGTGTGTATACATTTGCATGGTGTGACATATATTATGATGCGCCAGACAGAGTTACACGCACGTATTAATAAACTCTACGTTCCTCACAGCCATTATTACAGTATTAGCAAGCAGAAACTTAACATAGTAAAGTGTGGATTCTATTATTATTATTATGTCAATAAAATCCAAACGTTGTACAAGGTTAAAGCGATCCAGTCTTTTACTGTAGTTCAACAAGTATTATCCACATCTGATATGGTTTGTTAGCCAAATATTGACTGTTTACAAAATATTCATACGAGGGCAGAGCAATCAATATGTTCTAAAATCAAGCAACAAACGTCAAAGCGTTCGGTGAAGTGGAAAGTTCTAGATTGAAATTTGTAAAATTAGTTTGTAAATCAAAATGTCCAGCTGGCAAGCCGACCGTGTCGGAAAAACAACAACGTTACTTTGTCATTAAATCCAACAATTATACCGCAATTTTGCACCGAGCGATGCCGTTGAAATATCCAGCTGTTGAACGGGCATAGCGACCAAGTTTGTTGATTGAAATTGTTCCGCCAATCTGAAAGACTATTTCATCAGTTAGTCTTTTTCACTAAGGTAAATATCACGTAAAACTCCGAGTGTTTCCCATTATCCCATTAATTGCTAATAATTTGCCATTGCCTCGAAAGATGAAATTGTAATATACAACATGAGAAAAATTGAAGTTCCAGTTATCCTTTCCCTTGTTCATGCAACACGATATCTCTAAAAATTCGTGTTTCTCACTATCAAAAACCTAACATCAATAGTTTTTTGACTTCATATCCTCTTTAGCATTTTGTATATTCCAACGAATATCTTAGAACTTTGATAATATTTGTTGCTCAACTCTTTTCTTAATGTACTGCATGAATTATTGCAGCAGTAAACAGTAAGTATGAACTACTATCGACGTCGAAGTAACAAACCACATGAGATGGCGTAATAATATTCCCATACGCAGAAATGTACCGCGCTATTTATTGCTTGTATTGAATAATAAACGATTACTACTTACCCGTTAACACTTAGAAAAATAATGTGGTTTCTTAGTTCCAGATATTCTAGTGTCCAACTTGTTTCCTTGAAGATATATCTTTAATCTAATAACAATTGTGCTTCTCATACACCGTATAAATTAATTCTACCCACAACCACAACTCCCAGTATTCAAAAATTTAATCCTGAATGACGGTCGCAGTAGTCTTTACTTTTTTCTTTTCCCTCTCGAGATTCTCAACAACTTCTCTGTTGCTGCTCACTTTTCACTTTTTCTTCTTGAGTATTATTGAGTTTAGTTTAAGTTTCTCTGTTTCTGCTAAAGCTTCTGCTTTTGCTAAATCAGCATATTGCATAGCTTTGATATGAGTTTCACCTGAGGCCTTAGCATGACATATTTCTCCGTCTCCGGCTAGTAGTAGTAGTACAGTTGCCAAGAATTGTGCAGCGCAGTTCAAGCACAGAAGCATCAACAAAATAATGACCGGATCAAGACGAAATTCTTGACAGGTTAGTCTTTTGTCGATAGTATCTTCTGTGCAGGCGTAAGCAATTTATCCTCTGCAACATACATTATACAGGGGGATTAGCTTCAATATCAATAACATACGCTCGAAAATTTCGATAAACGCGGCCGTTGAAGTATATAACGTAGCGAATTATCCGACCAGATTAACGATAACAGAAACATTATAAGAGAACAGGAAGCGGTCAGAAAACAGTTCAAGGAAAGCATAAATATAAAGACAAACTGGAATGAATAGTATGCCAACTGCAGTTCATACCGCTTGAGGAACATTCACAGCTTTTAGGCACTATCATATTCCAATTTCCTTTCGCCCTTTCCCAACTAAAGAAAACACGCCTGGCAACTCTTGTTCCTCATTCCTGTTTACCGAATCTTCGAAGCCCTTGTCAGCAACAAACCAGCTAACACCAAGCACAAAAGATTTCCCAATTTCAGGAACAACTTTTCTTAGTTAAAACGTATTATAGACAAAGCCACAAATAGCTAGTTCCCTATAACAATGTCCTTACAGCACTGTCTTATTGTTGGACGATGGTGTTTTATCGGCTTACGAGTACTTTTTATTATTATATCGAATCTTGACCTGTGACGATAACAAAAGTCGCTCATAGAAAAAAAGCTTCTTAATTTCTCATCACGGGGACTTTGATCTATTGAATTACAATGATCGATAGATAATAATAATAGTACCGAAATGTTGTATTGAAGGAAAACCGCACAATGATTTTTTAATACAAAATTTATATAATATAGCGATATAACATAATACAACTGATGGCTCTAATACGTGGGGGGGGGCTGAAAAGTTTTGCGTGTGGCTCTCTAACTCGAGATTGCGTCAATTTAACTAAAAATTGGAATAATCA